TTAAAGTTGAGTTACATTTTGTGCAGAAACACAGAGGTAAGGCTCAGACACCAAGTGATGCTGAATTCATTTTCACTACTGCAGGTTTTCTAAGAAATGTGTGGTGTGCAGAATAGGGCACATACTGTACATCTGGAGACCAGTTTGTTCTTTAGTGTTTATGTGCGTCTCTCCGTCCTGCCTGTTAGGGTTGCGCTCACTGAGCAATGCAGTGGTTTCATACAACAGTCATTCTGAACTAGTTTCATGTCATGTGTGAATGCCAGGAGTTTCACATTCATCTAGCCAGCCTCTTCATTATCCCCGCAGGCTCACCGTTAGCTCTGGCTAGTTCCTGTTTATGTATTCCTCCCTAAAACTGCTCGCATCCCTGAGCGGACCACAAAACCCCACAATTTCCTGTAGTCAAAATACACAATTCATTATGTGCATTCAGTGAAGCGCTTGAGAGATTACAAACTGCAAACAGACTGAGTATGAAAACAAATGAATGCACTTTTTTTGACTGCAGGTGCAGGATACCAGAGGCATTATACTCTGAAAATGAGGCACGCCTAACATCTGTAGCACAGAAGGAAGCCAGTCGGCTGAAACCTTAATTAATCACACCCATGCAATCACCATCACTGCTAATTCACTGCCTTTAGTAATCACTTCACTAGCTAAGATACAGCAGCCAGTAAGTTTCGATCCGCCTTCCCACCACGCTCATCCACTACTGTGTTTCACCCTGACTGATTTAATTCCAGCCACAGCGTGATTTATAGCTCTTCAGGTCCGACACTTTCTCTCACCAGCTACTCCTCTGCTGCTGCCTCTCTTTTCTGCATTCCAGTGATGCCTTTAAAGGTGAGGAGAGCAGAAGTGCAATGACAGACTGAGATTTTACAGGGTCCGTGCCCTTTCATGGGAGGTGACGGAGGAACAGAAAGATCCCAGGAGGGACAGAGAAAGAGTAGGGATGCCGGTGAAATGAGTTTGTAAAGGTTTGCGCGCAATAAGAAGTGACCCTGTTTGCATTAGGAGATGTTACATTTGCTCACAATTGGATGTTTTTGTTGTGATAGCCACTGTTGGCCTGCCAAGTCAGTGGGAGTCAAACCAGATCTGATACTCCACTCCAAATTCTCTTTTCACACACACTCCCCAGTTTTAATGAATTACTCCAAATGTGCTTAGTGTGAATACAACCAAGCAGGTGAAGTGAGAAAGGTTGGCACAGGTACACAGAGGGACTGTGGAAGATTAGCTAATGAAAAGTGAGATCAGGAAGGTAGAGGCAGAAAGTGCAGTGGATCGTACACCCCAATGATGGCGAACATCCAGCACACGTGTCTGGCTGAGCTGCTCCCTATAATTATTGAATTTTCTTTTTCCTCTTCCTCACTATTTCCCTCTGTTCTGCCTTTGTTTTATTCATTCCTCTCCTCCTCACACATTTGTTGCTGTTGGTCCTTCAGCATAAAGCAGCAGCCCCACACAATACATCCAATTATAGTTGGCTTTCCTGTTAAGTGCAACACTGCTGCAGGTTGAGGTGGCTAGAAGTGATGCTAAAAATCAAGGGTGGCCGCTCCAGAGGCCTGAACTAATTGCACTGCGGCAGCAGAGGAGAGAAAGGAGAAATAGAGATGCAGTGGCTTTTTTTAATCTCTTCTACCATACTGTAGGTGCTTTGAATCCTTTCTTTTTAAAACGCTATATCTTTCAAGTCAAGCACCACTTCACTTGTTGGGTACACAAGATCACAAAGGCCATGGGTTACTTTGAGGTAACTGAGGATCAAATAAGCTTTGGTCTGATAAAATGGACTTTGGCCTAATTGTTTTATTGATTTGTGCTTTAGTAGCAGATTTGTCTGTGTGGGCACACACTGCACATATGATGGTTGATGTTGATGACTGCTTCATTTGCATTCTCTGAATCAGATGCTGATCTGGACGAACAAGGGCATACACAATGCAAGCTTGTCCAGATATTCAAAACAGGAAGAGTTAATCAGAAACATCAAGCTCTTGCCAAACCAGTCCCACTGAAAGCCACCGAAGTGACTTCTCTGCCTCCCAAGAGGATGTGATGGGCTGCAGAACTACAGCTGCTAGGACTTTCAAATGTCCAGAGAGGCAGCCAGTCGCAGCTTACAAGTCAAATCTCACTGCTGTGACACCAAAAACATGGGTGGATAAGGCAGGGGCGAAGTAATCAGCAAGCCACGACACTCAAAGATGCCTCCTAATCCCTGCTGCTCTGAGGGCGGCGGGAGAAAATCACCTTGAATCACCACAGTCAGACAGCTGCAGCCTGTCTGAGAGAACAGGTAATGAGGCGGCTGACTGAACAAAAATAAAGTGGGCAAGGTAAGTCTGACCTCTCGCTTGTCTAATTCAGCAGCCAAGGCTGACTCACAATGAGCTGGGATGTGGCCTCCAGTGTTTATTCACCATGGAGAATTCTCATCACCACAGAGGTGTTCATTGGTTATTAGCAGGGCTGCTCAGGGGCCTTGAAAGTCTGCGTCAGTGGCATTTGATGGATACCTCAGCAAGCCATCAGCCGTGAAAAGATGAATCAGGGTTGAAGGAACAGGTCTTCCAGATGGGTCAAGCCATAACTTTGCACGTCAGCACACTTTTGTTTACCATCCTTCTCACGCCAGTCAAGACCCGCCACTCCCTCCAATCTAATTTTAGGAACAAGCGTTCCTCCATCCGCTTCTACTCTGCTCACTGATGCTCAGCTCTTCCTGAAAATTACTGTGCACAGGCCAGATACAGTAATTCCATTAGTTCATCTAGTAGATAATTCACAGCTGTAGGATGCAACCCTTATCATCTTCAAGTCTGAGCACAACAGCTGTGAGCACTTTTTTCAACACAAAGTAAGCTGCAGAGTGTATTCATACCACCCCAATAAGTCAACGTGAAATATTATGACACTGCTGTGGTTGATGGTGCAAGGAGTCCACGCCTGATCTTATTTACTGTTGCAATAAAATACCACAACTAGCTAATCATAGAGTAATGTATAGAACAGAAGCACATATCATAACATAACATAACATAACATGTCTTCTTAATATAAGTGCCTGACCAGTCGATAAAGACAGACATCCCACTATGTGTAAAAATGTCCAGTGGCTTCAGTTTTGTGCTAACATTCAAGTTATGGCACATTTCTTACCTTTAGAGTTTGAAGGGTCCCATGCTCTAATAGAGGAGGCTGCAGTGATAACAGTTGTGGAGTGAGCACTGAGATGAAAACCGTTACATCACCAGCACCACCGAACTCAAAACGCCTGCTCGGCTTCGGAGTGGGAGCACCAGGTCATGCGGAGAGAAGGCGCCGCCGATGATCGAAACCTACAAGAACTCATCAGAAGAGATACACTCTGCTCCTTCTCCGGAGTTGATGCTGACGGGTCTCTGAATGAGCTATGCGGGTATTTCTTTCTTTACGGCACATTAACCCTACAATGCGCACAAGTCCTCTCGCGGCGCACTCGGAAGCAAGTTATGGATGTGGTGTTGGTGTGGCAGAAGCAGCTGATCTCAGTCATCTGGCCGTAGCTGGACCGCGTGCCAGCCCCTCTGGTCGTGTTCCAGCTGTGCAGCTCACAATCACACTGCTGCAGAGCCACAGTCCCGCCTATTGGTAGTATCACAGCAACAGCACATGTACACGTGCTGCTGCGCACCATTACACACCAAAACAATCTGTCTCACTCACGGATGCTTTGCCAGATCAGTGCGTCCGTCTCCACTTCAGTTATTGTGCTGCCTTCAAATACATGCACTTCTAAAAATGTACAGTTTTAAATGCTTTTCTGCAGGATGACACAGAAGCTTTATTTTGCTGCAGTGGAAGGATGGGGGATTCATGCATTTATTAATTGATACACATTCATCACACTGCATGGCAGGTAGAGAAAATATACGATGCACTGGTGTTTATGGGTTAGGTTCATCAAAGAGTCCACACTGAATACATCTTTTCTTCGTTTTACATACAGATTTTACATTTTATTGTAGATAAACAGAGGCTACCTGTTGCAACAAGGAAGGGTTCTGCCCCCTTCATAACGTCACATGTTGCTTTCAGGTCATGCGGGATTAAGTGAGCGATAACCCTAAACATAAACCACCTGTTAACTTTTTGAAAGTTAAAGTTACTAACACTTTAATGCTTTAATATATTGTTTTTGCCGTATTACAAGAATACACGTTCATTTTCTTTTTAGCCTACTTTGCAATTAATGGTAGGCTATATTTGACTGTGACATTACTGTAAATGTCTTTGCAAAAAAAGAAATAATCATATAATCAACATAGTTGCCACTTCGTCTCTTGGTTTACATGAACAACAAAAAATACCTTCTAAATAAGTTCATACATTGTTCGAGTTGTAGTGGTTGCTATCAAGAAATCCCCCTATTCAGTTAATAATGATAAGATATAGTAACCGACCAATAAAAATGCATTTGATTCTCAACAAGCTCTCTCAAGTTGGATCACGAGTTTTCCGACAGCCATTGAAGGTGGCGCCGTATAGCACTGCCTACCAGGAAGACGAACAGCAGGGGAGACACGGTAGGTGCTGTTTCACTACTGTGTATGGAAATAAGCTGCTATAAACCGCACATTAAAGCAAAAGGGACACTGTTGTATGGTTAAATACAAGCGAGAAGAAGTGTTTTGAATGTGTCTACTTAACAACAACAACTTCCACTCCTGTTGAGTTGTGTCTCTAGGTCAATGACTGTGTTTGGTATAACATTTACAATGTAAAAATACCTGTACAGCATCATCACACTAACCACACATAACACTGTGTGTTTGCTCTGTGCTCACTGAGTTAAAAAAGTGCTGCAGAATATTAGTTATATGTTAGATATTAGTTATATGTCATTATATTTGTCATTTACACACAGCTATAACTCTCTTAACGGTCTATAAATCAATTTTTAATTAGCTGGGGCATTGCTTCATGGGAAAACAGGGGCATCAGCAGAAGTGTACTGTCCATAAAATTATAAGTATAAATTACAGCATATATGGTTTTTAATTCTAAAAAGGTCACTTTTTGTCATGTTATTTAATAAAATGTATTTTAGATTGAGTTTTTCATTAATGTCCTGACTGAATCTCTTGTTTTGAAATTTACAAATACACCGGATGTTGCAATCCTTTCTCAACAGCAGTCTGGTCAATCCATGGGATTCCCCGTTTTGAGTCATCTGTGTACAGAATGGATAGCCAGGAAGTGGGGGTTTTACTGGAGGAATGTCTCCAGGCAGCTCAACAGTCCACCCAGCCCTCTGTGGCAGAGAGGCTGAACTACTATAGCTGCAGAGGTCAGACACAAGATGGTGCTATTTGGTCACTTTTCATTTGGGTATGGGATGAAGTCAGATTCGGAACACCAAAAAATACAAGCATACTGTCTTGTTTTTGATTTATTTCCTGCTATTAATTCTAAAATTACACTATAGCAGTTCTATGAAACCAAATACTGGAAACTTTCCAAAGCTACTAAAACTAAGTCATAAAGTGAGTCTGCATCTGTTGTCAGTATTTGGGAATTATGTTGTCAAGTAAGAGCACTTTGTTGCCTACTGGCAGCAACACAAGGTAAGATATGAACCAAAACGTTGTTCTAAACAGCAATCTGTCTAGATTTTCCTGAAGGAAGTTGACAATGTAGAAAGTTTCCTAGTGTAGCTTTAAGTAACATTATTCCCCCCATGTAAACATTTTTTCCCCACATTTTATTCAGCCTTGAGGTTTTAACGTTATTAGGCCACTTAATCTTTGCACTACCACACACTTTTGTTGGATTTATTAAATTCCCCTTATTTCCCCATAGACATGCTTTGTGCAGAACTGGCCTCTCTCCTGCAGGAGGCTATGGCCATGAAGTGGCCCTTTGTGCCAGAGAAGTGGCAGTATAAGCAGTCAGTCAGTGCCAGTGACAAGACCAACCTCAATGACCTCATCAGCAAGAATCTATCACAGCTCCTGGTAATAATCACACAGCTGAGTAATGGTTTCTTTGTAGTGTTATATATATTTACTAAATATGTTTTCCTTGTTGCCAGGCTGTTCTAAAGGTGTCCATCGTGGCTCAGGAGGCACGCACAGCACTGGCAGTTGTCTTCTTAGTTGACCGCTTTCTCTATTGGACCGACGAGTCCAGCCGGCTCCTGAAGATCACCAAGCTGCTCCACAGACGCCACCGGGACACCCCTGTGGCCCCCCAGCTGGTCATAAGACAAGCCAGAGTCTACTTTAACTCAGGTACGGTGTGGTGGAAGTGTGGGGTTGAGTTTATGGGACTGGTGATAATACTTCATTACATTCATTATTATTACATTGTATTATAGCTTTGTGGAGAGCCACTGGCACTGAATAAATATGAAGAATGAGTAACACGTCTTACATCATGCTAATCATTGTTTTGTGGGATAATAGTGATTGATGTAAGCTTATAGTGGAGTTTACATGTGAAAAGGCTTTCATTGCGTTGTCATTGTCATCATTAATCATTTTCATTACACAGATATTTAATGTTGGGATTATTGTGAACATTATAATCATCTTCCCTACAGGCAAACTACAGAAGGCAGAATACATACTGAGCAGTCTCATTAACAGTAGCGGGGCCACAGGTACGTTCCTTGCTATGTAATGAACATGTTTTTTACAAGCTAAATTAAAAACTAAATCCTGGCTTTCTTGTACAGGATGTTGGGTGTACCACTCTGAAAGTGACAGGGCTCTTGTGCAGGCTGTTAGTGTTCAAGTGCGTGGAATGATTTTGCAAAAGCTAGGTAAGATCTTTTTCCTGAATAACAGAAAATAGTTTACTCCACTATTTTGTTGCTATACTGACTAACAGATGTATTGCTCAGGCTCTAATTTTGTGCTCTGTTTCAGGGCTGTGGCTGGAGGCTGCAGAGTTAATCTGGGCTTCACTGGTTGGTTACTACGCACTTCCTCAACCTGATAAAAAGGTAACCCAGGTTCAACCATGATATCACCATCACAGTTACCACATTGTGAGCTTGTAAACATGCATATACTAGTTTATGCACTGTCATAAACCTTTGCTCTGCATGGCTGTACATTTTATAGGGCATTGGAACCTCTCTTGGCATACTGGCTAACATATTGGTGTCTATGAATGATGAGGACTTCCACACTTTTAGGAATAATCCAGATATTGATTTGGTAAAACCAGTTTATATTCTTATTCTTTATTCTTAGATTGGATCCCCACTAGCTTCCACAAAGTGGTCGTTAGTCTTCCTGGGGTACACACAAAAACACTAAAAATAAAAATAATCAACAATTTAAAATTATAAAATTATATAATGTTGCTTTGTACATTATTGGCTTTGTATAATTTATTGTCTGTCTGATTATTTGGAGCAGTCTTTACTTGGGGACAGTGGTCATCGTCTTCTTTCAGCAGCCCAGGCAGCAAAGATGGCTGTGGTTTATAGCCAGTACACTTCACTCTATGTGTTGACCAATGTGGTAAGTTTTCAAAATCTGCCATTGTGGGCCCACACTCACACCCAATCGAGACAACTGCGCCTCAGCCCCCTCTTTGCTTGGGAAGGAGAGAACAGGGACTTTAATGTTGCCATGGAGTCTATTAGCAGTGGGCTGCAACTTAAGGCTTGTTTTTTTTTGCTTATATTTGTTTACATTTTGGCAAACTGTCACCATTAAAGATATGCAGAATTAGCTACTTGCAGTGTGTACAGACAACCGTCACTGGATTACTTTGACACTGAACAACAAATGTGGAGCAACGATAATGATAACCCCTAGAAAGTGTAAGTCCCACTGCAGCTAAAAATATGTGTATCATGTGTTCAGATTTGAGTTATGACTAAAATTTTGTACAAGGTTTAAAGCAAACTGAAGGTCATGGTTCATGTGCCTCCCTTTTAACTCTCCCAGAGGTTCCTAGAGACATAAATGAATAAACTCATACTTTCACAGCAGAGACAGGATAGCAAATGAGATAACAGGTCAAACAGAAGTATCCTCTGAATTTATTGCAACTTTATTATTCTTCTGCCTTACTCTGACCTCTTTCCCTATAGGCAACTCAAGGAACCTGCTTGTTGTCGTACAGTTTCTCAGTGGAGTGCCCTGTCTCTCACAGGCAGTCTTTCCTCCTGCACGCTAGAGAGGCATTTACAATCGGCCTGCTCACCAAAGCAGAGGGCGAGTTGGTCACCAGCAAGCAGGAGCTTCACACCTTCCTCAAGGCTGCCTATTCCCTCACCGTCACTCACAAATGGCTTGGCACTCCTCAGGAGGTTGTGGCACAGGCAACCCAAGCTTGCCAAAAAGCGTTAGCAGATTTCTATGATTACGATTCAGACATGCAAGACAAAGACAGTCTCTGTGCTGAAATCATGAATCTGGTCAGCCAAGTCAAGCTTCTGTTGCAAGTGGAGCCTTTCCTTAATTCAGACAAGGGTTCTTTTATCCCTGACAGCTACAGAAACATCAAAGACACATCAGTAAATTTCACTTTGGAAGGTTTCGCTAAGGTTATGCAGAGATTCCAAAAGTATCATGCATCACTGTGTGAGACAGGTAACATAAACTGTAAGGGGACAAAAGACGAGATAGATGCAGCAAGGCTTTGTATAACTGCACTGGGGACAACCATTGGTACACTCAACACAGAATGTAGCACTGAGGCCAGCAGAGTGTCAAAAGATGCACTTAATGGAGAGAAGCCACAACAGAGAGGTTCAACTTCACCTGCTTCACACCCACCTCAAGAAAATAACCTATGTACCACTCTAGGAAGCACAGATAACCTTGGCTCTTCATGGCAAAACTTCTCATTGAGTAGTTCAGGGTCTCCTAGGCCCAGCAGCAGCGGCTACACGGGAAGTATTGCCATTGAACGTGAAGCACACGCAAGCAACCAGAGCTGTGTGACCACTGAGGTTGATGATGATAGGTCAGACAGCATGCTACAATCCGCTACAAACAGGAAGCGAGACTTACAGGGTTGTACCTCTGGCGTCAGTTCCCATATAGTCCAGAGATCCACAATACCTGCCACTTCCTCCTCCAATGCCAGTAGTGATTCAGAGAAGTTTGAAGTGATACAAGCTGGAATAGAGACACTGGGCAGTGGGGAGGATTGGATGCCTGATATAGGTGTGCCACTGAAACCATCAGTAGCTGAGGGAGCAGCACAATCCTTATCCCAACTAAATTTTAGAACATCCTCCAGCTCCCTCAGTGACAGTTTCAGTTCCCAGTCATCATGGGAAAAAATCTCAGCTGACCTGAACTCCCCCACAAACAGAAACCCTCTGCTAAATAGCCTGTCAAAAGCAGGAACCAGCCAAAGCAACAAGTCTGATGGGAGCTTCTTCCTCTTGGAAACACTTGGTTCGGAAACCAGTGACTCAGCTCATGATCCCACACACAAAAACCACACATCTGGATGGGAAAGTGGAGCCTCGTCCATACCACGACCTTTGCAGAGCCTTAATGTTGGCCCAAAGATGCACACTGAAGCTGTCTCAGTGTTTTTAAAACCTGCTACCGAGAACTCCTTAGCAACCCCACACCCAAACCATTCCCAGTTTGTCCCAGAACAGTGTGCTTCCACTGAAACCTCCACAAAGAGTTCATTTGAAATGCTGGAGGAGAACCTAAGTGGACACCAAGGTAGTAAAGTCACTTCTATAGAAAAAGTAAATGTCCCTCAAACGAAGAACCCCTTATGCTACAGCTGCCTAAAGCACAGCCCTGTAGCTGGTGTTGTCCCTGAGAGACAGTTTTGGTTGTCACAGCAGGATTACCAAGCTCTATTGGCTGGAGTTTGCCATGAATGTCTGTTGAAGAGATTACACAGTGACAAGACGCAATTCAAACTCAAGAAGCACAGAACTGCGTACAGTAAGTTTCAATCACCATTGTTGTTGAACTGATGATGAAGACAAATTTCATCTTTAGCCACAGTAGCATTGTGACTCTAAGGATGGCAGTGTCAAAACTACGGTGGCCGCAAAATGGGAAAAGACCCTATCCAAATGTGTGTAGTTTAGGAGGATCTACTGGCAGAAATGAAATATAATATTCATAGGGTCCACTTCCACAGAATCCGCAATGTTGAACCACCATGTTTATACTGTAGCCCATAACAGACTAACCCAGCACTGGCTCTAGATAGGGCTTTTCACATTCTTTGCCACCACCGTAGTTTCTCCTTCACACTTGGTTAAGTCAAAGGGTTAAATACACACTGGTCCTTTAAGGAGTGAATAAAACATTGATTGCAACTTTGCTAATCTCTGAATACCATCTCTATTAGGTGCTCTTCATTTAAAGTTCTCCAAAGCCACAGGACTGTGGACAGCCAAGGAGACCTGCGTTTACATTGGGGAGCCGATGGGAATGCAGGGCAAGCAGAGAACTGCAATATGGGTACAGTTTTTACACCAGGAGGAGAGGTTAAGCAGGTATGCAGCTATTCCAAAAGCAGGCACAACCTGAAAGTAATGACGTTTGTCTCACTTTGTTTGTGTATTTACATCCCTAGTTATGTGGGGAAAGATTACCTGAAGCCAAAGGAAATCCAGTTTCACTTGAAAGATGTGGAGAGACAGATGACAGCCCAATACTACGTGACTAAATTCAATAAGAGCCTTTACGACAAGGAGGTGATGGCTCAGATCTTCTTCATTCCCTCGGAAGCACTGTTGGTGAGGCCAAATCCTAAAGACAAAATAAACCTGCCAAACATAAAATAATTGCATACAAATTTACATTATGCAGAGAAAGCAGAGATAGTAGATGCTGCATTAAAATTAAAATGACTTCATCCATAAATACAACTTTAATAGGACCCCTTACACATATATATAACTTTGGAAACAGCAGAGTGCAGGATAGCCTGCAGCAGCCTTGGAGCAGTTTTGGTTGAAATTAAAATGTAATACCCCAGTCCACCCTCCATCTGTTAGTTTACAGCTAGAAATATACCCTCATGAAAGTCGTAGTGCCAAAATATTGTTGGTTAATAGTCTAGAATGTACAATGAGCTGTTAAAAGGGAAAATGGGAAGTTATGGCCACTAAGCTATTATTATAAATAATAGCTTAGTGGCGCGTATTCTCTTAATTGTCTCTGCTAATCCCTGAATGAAAAAAACAAAAAACAAAACTTGTGTTCTGGAGTTACTATTTTGGCCTTAATTGCTCTTCTGAAATGAAACAGCATGTAGTAATAATAATAAAGCCACTGGATAAACAGACAAAAATTATACTACAGAAATACTGTACTTGAAGCCATAGTAATGAGTGTTGTACATAGACGGTCTTTACATATTTCCCAATTTCCCTCTTGATTTCTGTACTTGTAAACAGATTTTGAATGGGAATGAGATTGTGGGCTGTGTGACAGTGGAGCCCTACATGCTCGGAGACTTCGTCAAACTGACCAACAACACTGGAAAGAAGGACAAGAGTTTACAGGCTACAGAATATGGTCTTGCCTTTGGACACTTTACTTACCTGTTCTCTGACTGCCAGGAAGTTGTTGTTGACCTACAAGGTGTGTGTGAATTTCTGAGTACTGAAATCACTGATAGTTACATGATTTTCCAAGTCTTTTTATATAGAAAAGGTCTGCATTAACATTTAATATATGTGTTTCTCCCCTTTTTTACACAGGGTGGGTGACAGCCAATGGCAAAGGGCTGACCTACCTCACTGACCCCCAGATTCACTCCACCAAAACCCCCAGAGGCCCCTCCAACTTTGCTGCCAGAGGCCTCAGGTACTTTCTGGAGGAGCAACATGGACCAGAGTGCAACAGCATTTGCCAGCTGCTCCATCTACCTCCAGTGGTCGGACAGACACATGCTCTGCCTCAGAAACTTTGAGTAAATGCCGATGTTGAGTGTTTGTATTTGAAATTAAGTGAAAAGTGTATATATTTTTCTAAATCGTATTTCATTTGAGTTTCCTGCTCCAATATATAATAAAATATTGGTGTGTCATTTTGTTTTGAAATAATGTATTTGAGATGTATCACTCTCTATTCACGAGTGACTGGATTGCAGTCTGACTGGATTGGCAGTGCAGGAATCACCTGACACTGTGACAAATAAGGTTTAGGTGAAAGTTTTCAATGAAAATTTTCCATCATCATCATGTGATCTCAGCGTTTCATAGTCCATTAACATCCTTGTGTTAAATATTATAAGTTTTTTAGAAAATAAACTGTGTTTAACAAATGTTTATGTAAACATGATGGGGTTGTGACTGATTCCTTGCAAGTCCGTACAACAAAGTAGATTTGCTTCAATTTCTAAGAATCAAAGGTTATGTTTAGGTTATGTATATTTACTCAACTATCATGGTGCAGCCAGTTAGCTGACTGTTGATAACAAAGTATTGTTCTGCTCTTTTTACAATGAAACCTATCACAATCAAATGACCATATTATCACAGTCAGTGTTTGACATACTGATGAAAGAGCAATAAGGTCCCCTTGTCATACATACAAACTACATGAAATGAGACCAAAGTAGAGGAGAGGTTATATTTGTGCTTCTGCTTTGTGATCAGTGAGTCATAACAAAAAAAATACCAAAGCACACTGCTTTGCAAAAATTAAAAAGCCTTTGATTAATGGGCTTAACGCCTATGAAGATCTGGACTATGTTTCATGTCTGTAAATGTATTTGCTGTGATTGTTCGTTTGGCATATCTGATGCTATTTGTTGTGTGTGAAGGATTTGCTAACATTAAAGATATTGATGCCCTATGAGAATCTACTCTATTTTTATCCAGTGGCACTCTGATTGCTTGACAGCTGTCAGCAGACTTCCTATATATGTGAGCTGCCATTTGGTTTTTACATGCTCTGAAGAAGACTGTAAGTTGCAATACATAGATGTTAAGCCAATTTTTTAAAGGCTTTTTAATTTTTGCAAAGCAGTGTGCCTTGGTATTTTTGGTTATGACTCATTGGTCATGGTCTCATGATATGTACTTGGATCTATAAGAGCACCTGTTTTTTTTATGCCTGCTTTTTTGTAGTAAAATCTGGCATTTACCCATTCTTTAGATTTAGACGTGTAAACTTCAAAGTTCCACTTGCAGTTTTGTAAAGCGTTTGAAGTTTAAATATTGAATTACAGGTTATTGTGAAACCAGTGACATTGTAGATTTGTGTAATAACCAGGTAGTCTGATGGCCGCAGTCACACACCTGCACATCATATGACTGTGACGTCAGTCATGAAGCTATTCATTAGCGCACGTGAGCCTCCTCTCCTTTCAGACAAAATCCAGTTCAGAGTTTATAAGCCTCCATCTATAGTGAACACAAACAACATTCTTCACCCCTCACCCACTGTGCACAGACCACATAGTCACACTGTTAACATGCAAGTTTACTTTTCTGAACAAATTTCACTGACTGTACTGTATTGTGTATTTTAGATAAATAAATTATTAAAATATGTATAGATACTAAAATCCTTTACAGTTATACACACAAACTGCAGTACTATTGGCTTCTCCATTAAAAACATTAACCAACCTTTAGTGTACATAAAGTACAACAGTTGTTAGGAAGAGATACTGGCTCTCATGGCCTTTTATCTTGATGTGAGCCAGATAACAGACGGTGTTCACTCTTGACTCTAATGAGGTCCTAGAGGGTTAAAAATAAAACCCGGAAGCCAGAGTTTCTCTTGAGGCTCAGTGTCCGCAGTTATAAAGTTGCGACACTCCTGTCAAGCACCAGAGTGTTTGTGGCAGACAACAGAAGTGTGGAATCCTCCAATATGAGACTCTTAGTGGTATTAACGTGCTTACTGGCAGGCTGCCTGGCCCAGAAACCTCACCCATGCTGTAAGTAAAATAACAGAGAGAAAAGAGATTTTGATTGTGGTTGTGGGAATGAATTTGTCACTTATTGCTTATGCCATTTTATTCTTTCTCAATATTGAAGAATAGTTGTACACAGTGAGCAGGCCTATTTAAAGGGATAGTTCAGGTTTTTTAGAAGTGTGGTTGTGTGAGGTAAGTATCCATTGTTAGTGCATTACCTACAGTAGACACGGGTCAGCACACCCCCAGTTTGGAGAAGCAGACAGGTGTCTTGGCACAGAAGCTGAGAAGTGCACTGCTGTGGACGGGAGTAGCAACAAAACATATTTTATCTACCTAAACCTATATAAATTTAAGTTTACTCTTTATGTAGGTTAGAAGGTAAAGCAATGAAAATATTCTAAATATCGCATACAATTATGCCGATATTGATTTTGAGCCTTTTCTTAGGTCACTAATACATTTTGTTGCTGTTCACACCCACAGCAGTACATTGCTTAGCTTCTGTGATGGTACTCCTGTCTATGTACTATGCATACACTATCCCTTTAATGCTGTTTTACTGTGTCAAATGTGCGCTTTTGTAAAATAATGCAGCGTTCTCACATCTTCTTCCATAACACAGCAAGTCCTCCTCTTATGAGCGGGGCCCTCACTGTGGTGAGTATTTCAAATAGTGTGTTCTATAAGCACAATAAAGCAGCACCTGACCATATTTACTAAGCAAATTTGCAATCATTTGAAAGAGGGAGATGTAAACTCACTCACAACCTCTTTTTGTAGTCGACACAGAATGAGAAGCTGTGGACTTACACCCAGTACCTGTATGATGCACTGGAGCAGCGGGTGCGGCTCATCGAGATAGGCAACTACAAGAATAAGACGTTCACCTATGACGTCCTTATGCTTTACAGACAGGTGACCAAATGAACATCCCAAATATTTATTTCAGAGTGCAGTCAATCCTGATCAAGTGAAAAGTACAAGGAAAATATTTTTTATTGCAGTAGAGGCACATAGCTCTGGTTCAAAATAATTACATTAAAAGTTTATAGTCAATTTCTATTATTTGAACAAAGACTAACGAGTACAAATTTAGATTTAGAAAATGCTATTGTCTTCAGCATGGGCTCCTCACTCAATAAAAAGGGATCTAGGAAATACAGCACATATATAATATAATTGAGCAATAATTAAAGGTGTGGTTTGTTTCAAAGGTGCAGTGAGTCTAATCTCTTGTTTTTTGTTGAGGGGGTGAGGACTTTCTTTTATTCGTCTCGTTTAATTTGTCTGTCCCAAAGTTATGGGAGTCCAAATTGTAAGTGGAGCTTGTGAATAATTTACACAAGTCCAAAATAAATGGCATTTATCTGTCTTGGTTTATATAACAATTAATCTTAATTTATATAATGTTAATCAAGGTGTAAATATTTATGTGAAATTAAGTGCTTATCATGAAACATGAGTTTTAATTAGGTAGATTTAATATTCAATATCAACTTGTTGTTCAGTAATTGTGCTATACTTTTAAAAAAACTTTTAAAAAAACTTTTAAAACCCCTCACCTTTTTGTGTTTTTGTGCATAATTGTACATAACTTCACTAAAGCCCTGAATGTATTAAATTGGTATTTAATTTATACACAGCAAATTGTTACATACAAGTATAAACATCAGGCGTAAAAGTCAAATGAATCACAATAAGCAATGCTCATCCTCATCCTTATTCCACAACTTTCATCCATCAGGCTATCATGTATGAGATCAACGAACATGACCGTACATGCAAGAAAAAGCCTATGAAGGGAGACTTCCAGCCTCTGGCAGTCCCAAAAGATGCATCTCTGGTGGGCCAGGCTGTTGTGGGCAGCTCATCTGGACCTGGACAAGGACTCCTGGTCAACACTTGGACAGGAGAGCTGCCCAACAAAGGAGGTTAGAGAACTTGTAATGGTCAGGGTTAAGAGGGTTACTGTAATCTGATATTGGTTAGAACTTGATTTATCCATGCCAGGTTATTAACACATTCACTTTCTTCTCTGACTCTACAGGAAAGTACACGAGCACAGTCACTGAATTCGGATGCATTCCTGTCAACACAAACTATCAGACGGAGCAGTTTGGATGGGTGGTGATAAGGTTAGTTTACACTATCAGCAACATGGTATAAATCACTCTATAGGGCATAAAGAACAGGCGGGACACTGGCTTCAGAAAATCAGAAATGTTTGCATCTGGCAAAGTGATCATTTATGCCTCTGTCTTTCTGTTCACTAGCTTTTTCAACAACATCATTGGGATTTCTGAACCCAGTAAGCTCACCCCTCCAAGCTTTTGCCCAGATGCAGAGATGAAGGCTGACAGTGAGGAAGAGCCAGCAGACTTCCTCAGCGTGTTCCTCAACAAGCACTAAAGGCCTCCTTTAACTAATATCTTTATTTGAGATTTTAAAGCATCTACAAGGAACTTTCATTTTGTGTCGATTTGGCGCCCCCTGTGGACAAAAGCGGTAGTGATACTACCACCTCTTGTCATAAAGAGTTTGATCGTGCTAGCTAACAGATTTGGTTGCTTGGTAAAAGTCATTTTGTTATCAGCATTCCCCATATTAAATGTCTGTCTAGGCTGAAAAAGGGCAATTCAAGATCAGTTTCATCTGTTGAATTGACTTGTTTTTCACCTGTGCCTTATCACTGTCTCTTTAACCTTTTTTGTTCTTCAGTCAATGATTTTCTTCTTCTCTTTGCTGATCCTGTCCCAGTATCAACCATAAGATAAATATAACATACAAAAACTTTTAACTGGCTTTTATATGATACATGATGTAATATCAATCAGATAATATGTCAATGGTTTTTTTTTTCAGCTTGTACCAATTCTGCTTACATATATACATACTCCCACTTCTGAGATGTGACCAAATGTAAATTTTATTAATAAAAATGTATTTTAAGAATACTAAACAAGTGCATATATTTCATATTGTCTTTGTGTGTAATGACAACATAAAACATACAGCGTTTAAGAGTTCACAATATGTACATCATCCATAATATATATTGCTTGAATTAAGTTACAGTGACAACAGAAACATTTATAATTTCAGAAATCAACTGATCTGTGATGAATCTTTATATTAGATATACAGAGTTGAAGCAGTAAACCTTTAAACAAAAGGAAAGACACAACAAAAGGAGGCCCTTGAGCAACATATCATGTTTTATGGATACGGTGTTAGTCTGTGGTCATGTAAATGAATTCATATAAAGAGAAAAGGGAAGAACAGATGTAGCAGCTCATTTCCCGGAGCTCCACAAAGAAAATGACTGTGTTCAACTCTTCCCTGTCCTTTATGTGCTGCCAGAATAGCCTGAATCAGGCCTTTTCTCTCACCTTTTTCATGATATGTATGTCATGTTATTATCACATTGTTATTGATTATTTGCATAGACATTATTTGAATGTACAAGAGGAGAGGAGAGCACCTGAATTCTCCCTTCTGAATTCCCATGAAGTCACTTCAATTAAGCACTACCAAAAGAGATAGCAAGGACTCTGGGAGAGAGAGAGAAGGAAATGAAATCACATAAATTCAGACCCACAACATTTTAGCTTTATTCTGACAGGACAAGTGTATAAGCTACTGAGGACTCACAGAAAACCTGGCAGGGGATGCAGACTGGGAGTCTCACTGGTTTGTTTATAAGGAAGCGAGCACTCTGAAGTGGCAGCATATTTGCCTCTGTGTGCAGACGAGAGTAACTCTACCAGCGGACAGCATGAGAGCCCTCATCCTGCTTGTGTGCCTGTCAGCGGGCTGCCTAGCTCAGAGACCACATAAATGCAGTAAGTACAACACCACAGATGTTAATATGTTTATCTAGTTGAATGATTCCTCCAATCTTAGCAATTCACCCCCGAGATAAACACTGATCATGCTGTTGTGTTTTTGCCTTTGCATTCATGAGGAAGTGTTATGTTGCATGCTTAGCACAGCTGAGATGTAAATGTTTCATTTATTATCAAACAATAAAAACAAGTATTTCATTTGAACAGAATCCCCACCCCTGATGACTGGAAGCTTCTCTGTGGTAAGTTTGGATCTCTTCATACAAGTGATTATGCAACTGTGTAAAGCAAATGTCCTGCCAATACATTATTCAAAGTAAGTCTAATTTGGAGTAATGTAATAGGAAACTTCACACAAAAATCAGATACATTTTTGTCATTTTCCAAGTCCACCCAAAGTGAAAAGCTGATGGCCTATGCCAAGTACAGCTACGATGCACTGGGAAAGCGCATCCACCTCAGAGAGATTGGATCCTATAATAACAAGACCTTCCGCTTTGATGTACTTCTGCTCTACAGACAGGTAATGACAACAAATCAATCATATCTAAATTAGGAACTATTATGTACAACATAAATGACATAATAAATAATGCCGTCCTGTCCTCCAGGGTGTTATGTATGAGATTAACTACAGGAACCGCACATGTTGCAAGAAGCCACTGAGTGTAGACTTCCACCCGCTGGAGATCCCACGGAATGCTTCCCTGCTGGGACAGGTTGTGTTGGGAAGCTCCTCTGGTCCAGGACAGGGAGTCCTGGTCAACACCTGGGCGGGAGAGCTGCAGATGAAAAAGGGGAAAGGTACAGTAAGATGAAACTGACTAGTCATGTCAAAAAGTCATGTGGTGTTTTGAAGCGCATGACTCTGTGATTCTTCCTTCTAATCACTGCCATAGTATGTTATGTTCTCAAACCTGTTTGTCTGGTTGTCTTGCCTCATCTCCCTTGTGATCCACTTGTGTTGTTGCAGCAAAGTACATGAGCACTGTCACTGAGTTTGGATGCGTTCCTGTCAGCACTCTGTTTCATACCGATAGATCTGGATGGGTGGTGACCAGGTCAGTGCATGCACATGACAACACAAAAATGGGAAGTATCACATTTCTCTCCAGATCTGCTTTATGAGGAACTTGAGCACTGGTAGTGTGCCTAAATGCAACAGAGCTATGATTAGAGCTTCTAGTTGAATCTGTGTATTTCCTGTTATGCAGAGTCAGAATGTTTGCTGTGAGAAACTTCTATTGTCCAACCAATGTGAAACACTGTCTTTTGCACACCGAGACATGACATAGTGAAACAGCACATAAAAAACAAAACTGTAGTCTACATTAAAATGAAAATCCTTACTGAAAAGTTAAGAATACATGAGAACACTTAATCATCTTGAAGGAATAGTCCAGCATTTTGGGAAATAAGATTATTCTCTTTCTTGGCAAGTGTTAGATGGGAAGATGGATCCCACTCTCAAATCTGTCTTGAACACATGTTACAATTAGCTTAGCTTAGCATAAACAGCTAAACAGCTAGGCTAGCTCTGCCTACCAGCACATCTCTGCTGGACTATGCTAAGCTAAGTTCTAGCTTTAAATGTACCATACAACCATGATGGTGGTGTTGATCTTCTCATTTAACCCTCAGCAAGAAAGCAAGTAAGGGAATTTTCTACAATATTGAAATATTCATTTAATGTCAATATGAACAAAAGTATCTTAAAATTGCATTTCTAAAAACATTTTTTACTGTTGAATTAAAGTTGTAGAGTTAACTTTTTTTAATGTTTGGGTAGTTGTCATTGTAAATTCAGTACAACTCAGACTCAACCTCTGAGCTAAAACAACAAACCAGTCCCTGCAGGAAGTTGCGATGTTGCAATCGCTTTTTAATAATTCAAAATACAAAAAAAGATATAGCAAATATTCTTTCCAGTTTTCACTTTCTTCTATGATTTGATTGCAAGAATTAAATTCTTAAAAAACATCACAACATGCATTGGAATTTTAGGAATTTTAGGCCAAAACAATCCCCCCCAAAAAAGCCTGCGAAATCCTGGAGAGACAAAAATAACCAGGAGGAAAATACTACCAAAGCCTGAGCTCTGGTTCTCTCCTCACACTAAACAGATTACAGCAGTACCCACAGTTTGTCTCTGTTTCATTGTGGGTTCTTTCGGTTTTTCACCTTTAGCTTCTTCAACAACGTCATTGGACTAGTGGACCCTGGACATCTTAACCCTCCCGTTTTCTGTAAGGATGCCCAACTGGAGGAAGATGAGGAGCCAGTAACCTTCTTCAACCTGTTTTAAAACAGGCTATTTTCTGAAATGTACTGCACTGTGATAATGACTACAGTATATGAATCTTTGCACTTTTTTAGTAGCCATCATTGCTGTAGTAGCATTTGTGAGCAGGCTGTCTTTGGGTGAAATTAATGTCATTACTCAGCGACTTCTAATTAATAAATTGGTTGTGAGTTTAATGAACAACAGATTGACAGTATCTTTATGTCTAAAGTCATTTATTACAAATAAGTGATATGTACTATATCGTTTCACTTAGAAAATATACAATCACAGGGTGGATGTAAAATGTTTCCGTTTTTGAGTTTGTTGCCAGATATTAAAATCTGTTCAATAAGATCTTTCCTTATTTCATTTACATATAATAAATAAAGTTATGGACAACACAAAAGAAGACTCCTATAGATTGTAGCGGGTTTGACTAGATTTA